TTCAAATACTTGAATATAGCAACAAGATTGCATGTAGTACTAAAATATTTTCATGTGAATAAGTGAATATTAATTTTGAAATTTTTTTTTTTTTAAAGATTTTATTTTTTTCGTTTTCTCCCCAAAGCCCCCAGGTACATAGTTGCATATTCTTAGTTGTGGGTCCTTCTAGTTGTGGCATGTGGGACGCTGCCTCAGCGTGGTTTGATGAGCAGTGCCATGTCCGCGCCCAGGATTCGAACTGACGAAACACTGGGCCGCCTGCAGCGGAGCGCACAAACTTAACCACTCGGCCACGGGGCCAGCCCCATTAATTTTGAAATTTTAAGCACTGAGATTTGTATCCATTTCTGTGTATCACAATTACTTGTTAACCATTCAGAAGGCATAATATGAACAACTAAATGAATGTAAAGTTTATAAACAGTCATGATTAATACTGTGAAAATAAGAAATGTAAAATTTGATAGAAAAACTAAAAATTACAAACGACGAAATTCTTGGGAGTAGCATTTAAAGTAGTATAATTACAATAAAAAATGTTATCTCACACAATAACCCAAATATAAAGAAGGTGAAGCTCTAAAAATTTCCATTCATCCATCCACTACCCCTTCCTTTATTCCATAAATCTAGTCTCAGGGTTTAAAATACTATTTATATATTGAAGGTTCTTAAATTTAGTCCAGACTTCTCCCCTGAGCACTGGACTAGAATGACTACTCAACAAGTATATTTAGATGCCTAAAAGGCATATCAAACTCAAAACGTTTACAAGTGAAATCCTGACTTTTCCCTAAACTTGTTCCTCCCATAGTCTTTATTTCATGCCGTTTACCCAGCTAAAAACCTAGGAGTCATCCTTGACTTTCATATACCACATATAAACAAACGCTATGGACTCTATTTTAAAAACATATCCAAAATCCTCCACTTCCCAACACCTCTACTGCTATTGTAGTCCTAGTCCCCACCATTTTGTTCCTGAATAACTGCCAGGGCCTCCTAACTGGTCTTTTTGCTTCTGCCTTTACAACACTTCCACACTCCCACGTCTATTCTCTACAAACAGCCAGAGTGATTCTTTGAAAATATAAGTGAAATTATGTCACTTCTCTACTCAGAAATCTCCCATGGCATCCCATTTTACTCAGAGTAAAAGCCAAAGTCCTTAACATGGCTTATAAAGTCCCATAACCTGGCTCCCTGCAACATCTCTGACTCTCTCTCTTCTTTTCACTCACTGTGCTCTGGTCACACTGGCCCTCTTGCTGTTCCTAAACAAGTCACAGCACACTTCCACATCAGGGCCTTTGTAACTGCTGTTCCCTCTGCCTGTGACACTCTTTCTGCATGTTGCAGTTATCTTAGAAGCTTAAAACAATTCATTAATTCTTAGCAGCTTAAAACAATTTATTAATTCTCTTAAATTATTAATTAACTAGATGGCTGGGTCTTCTGTTGGTTTCACCTGGGCTCACAGCCTGGTCTGGAGGACCAGAGATGCTCTCTCTCACACATCTCAGATCTTGTGCTGGCTGTTGGTTGGCCCTCTCTCTCTACATGTGGTTTCCCGTAATTTGACATTCTAGCCCAGGTTTCCTTACATGGTACAAGGAGCATTCCAAGAGAGCAAAGGTAGAAGTTGCAAGGTTATTTGAGGCCTAGGATTTGGAACTCAATGTCCCCTTTGACACTCGGTCAAGACAAGTTATAAGGTCAATCCAGATTTAAGGGAGTGGAAACATAAACTCCACCTTTTGATGGAACGAGCTGCAAAATATTGTGGATTCAATATATCAGACCCCAGATATCTGTGTGGCTCACTCCATTCCCATTTACTCAAATGTCACCTTATCAATGAGGCTTTCCATGATCCCATGTAAAGTAACTACTCTTCCCTCACTTTGACGCTTACTATCCCACCCTTCACTTTAGCACCTATCACCACCTGACATTGCACATTCACTTGTTTGTTTACTATCTGTCTTTCTCCATTATAGTGTAAGTTCCGAGAAGGTAGGAACCTTTTCTGTTTGGTTCACTACTATATCCCCATCACCTCGAACACTGCCTTGGACGTAGTAGGCACTCAATCAATATCTGCTGAATGAGTTCTCTTATTCAAACGAGCATAAAATAATTAAGCAAGAACCCAAAATATCTCAAAAAGAATATAAATTTTTATGCATGTGAAGTGTTAATGGCTTTATATGTTCTTCTTTATTTATTCTGTGATTTCGAACAAAACATTTTATTATGCTTCAATGTGTCCATCTATAAAGACTTTAGCCGCACGTCTCTGTTTCTTGGATATAATGAGAATGTTTTAAACCGATACTTTAAACTCTTCATAAAAGGTCTCTGCAGGGCCTAGAATGTGTATGGTCTTGGTAGCTTATCAGTCTGGCACCAAATGTGCAAGGTGCAAGATTTAACGGAATAATAAGAATAATTCATGTAAGACACCAGTGATTAAAGAGTGTCATCCAAGTTTTGCCTAGACTAGTGTCTCCTAAGTTTCTTTATTATTGCTTCAGTAGAATATGAAAAAAAGACACACAAAAAAGCATCTTATCAGCCTATATTAAGTCAGAATTTAACTGAGAAAAATTCTAAATAGAAAACACATCAGAAAAAAACAACAGTTTATCAGACATATATGGGTATACATATGTGGGTATAGCAATGCTCTGACCCCATTCCTAAATCTACTCAATATAAATAGAATGAAAGAAGTGAATGCTCTAGAGCAGAGGAGCTGCACACTAACTAGAGGAGCTATCAGTACTAGAAGCACTCTTACCATCCCAATAAACTAAGCTTTTCCCAGGCCTGAACCAGCTTTACCTCCAATGTGGGAAACAGGATTACTTACCTATTAAAAATGCTATTTGCTAATAATAATAAAACCAGGGGCCGGCCCAGTGGCGCAGCAGTTAAGTTCGCACGTTCCGCTTCTCAGCGGCCCGGGGTTCGCCGGTTCGGATCCCGGCTGCAGACACGGCACCACTTGGCAAGCCATGCTGTGGTAGGCGTCCCACATATAAAGTAGAGGAAGATGGGCATGGATGTTAGCTCAGGGCCAGTCTTCCTCAGCAAAAAGAGGAGGATTGGCAGTAGTTAGCTCAGGGGTAATCTTCCTCCAAAAAAAAAAAATAATAATAATAATAAAACCAGAGACAATAATGTAAATGAGTCAGTTAGTTACCAACAAAAGGATCTCCTCCCTCCAAGAAAGTGGGGGCCTGAAGGTTAGGAGTGGGAAGGAGACCTGCCTTTTATTGTATATACTTTTAGGCTCTTTTTTTTCTTCAACATATGCATATAATAACTCTAAACAAAAAGTAAAAATAAAAATATCAATACAATAAAAAAGGAACTGATTAGGAGTCCTCTATGGCTCCAGATACGGTAAATAAATCTGAATGGAAGTTTTCATAAATGACATTTTATACAGACTACTGTATGCAGCCCGAGGAAAAATCAGAAGAAATAAGCACTCTATGTGCGTTCATACATCTGTGTTTTATGGCTCATATGAAAACCACTGCCTCTTTGCCAAACTGACAAAACAGGACATCATCTAAACGCAGAAGATAGTTTGATCCATTAATACGCTATTCTAGGCAGAAGAAAGCTCAAAACAAAGAACACGAAAGACTTGTTGGATTATAACAAGCATTTTAAAAACAAGTAGATAAAGGTTTGTTATTTTAAAGCAACAAAAATCCTCTTAGGATTCATTTTACTTAGACCACATGGACTTAGAGATAGAGCTGACAATTATCCACACATACTCTCATACTCATGAGCTGCTGATAAACTGTTACCATTGTTTCTGATATGCTTTCTACTCAGGACTGTTCCATGTATCTAGGTTAAATTCTGACTCTTAGTAGCTACAGTAGTGAATAAACTTTAATAAATTTTCACTAGCCAAAACTGTTGCATTAGCCAAACCCTAAATATTAAAAAGGTTTCTTTCATACCAATGAAAAGAGGCTCGGTAGTTTTTGATTTCCGACACTGGGGACATTCTCATTCAGGGAAAGGAACTGTTCTCTACTGCATTAGATATAGAAACATTGCTATTACAAAAATTTGATGAATCAAACAGTTGCAAGAAAAAGCAGCTACATATTAGTAATTCTAATGGTAGTAAAGAGGAAGGGATGAATACAAAAAGCTCAGCCAAGAAACTCAGCTTCTGCTCTGAGCACTTCCATGAGCTAGTTGTATGACCTTGGTCAACTCATTTAATCTCTCTAGGACTAATTTTTTCATTTGGAAAACAGGGGGGAAATAAGACTAGGAGATTTTTAAGATTCTACCAAGTTAAAAAGAAAACCCTACAATTTTGTATAATTGGTTCCATGTTGATCATTACAGCCCTTTGATCCAGAAAATCCTCTTCTAAGAATTATCCCACAAACGAAGTGGCACATGTCAGCAAAGACATGTATATCTGGACGAGAATGTTCACTGACAGCATTATTTGTATTAGCAAGAGGCCTTTGGAAAAATAACTAAATGTTCAGTAGAAAGCCAAATGAGAAATTAGTAGCATATCTACACATTGGAATAATACAAAGCCATTTAAATAAAGCATGGCATAGAACAGTGTGTTCCCATCTTGGCTCTAAAAAGGGGGATGGTAACATATACATAAACACACATATAAATCTATCTATCTACATATAAACACATACACATATACATTCTTATTTATGCAAAGAATATTTCTAATAAACACACAAGAAACTGAGTGTAGTTGTTGCCTCCGGCAGTTTAAGATAGAAGAAAGATTTAACTTTTCACTGTAAACCATTTTTTTCACTGATTTTGCCACATATAACTTTTTTATTAAATAAAGAAAAAACAACAAAATTTTTATTTGAAAATACTTATATTCCCCACACTTACCCAAAATGCTTTATTTACCAAATATGTGTCTTCTCTGACAAAAGATTATTTTATGCAAATATTTTTCAAATTACCTTGAAAAGCCTGGGAAACACATCTGCTGGCTGTCCACGAATCACAAACAGACGAGAGTTTAATTTTCGCAGATTGGCATCAAGGTCTTCGAGACATTGAAGCAAAAATCTAGAGAGGAAAGTATTATTAAAATCCTTAAAAATATATATTTAGAAGATATAAAGTATTACAAAATCAGGCTTTTCTAAAAGTTGAAATGCCAATCCCATCATCTTATTACCTCTTATCATATTACCTCTAACTGATACATAAATTACTGTTTCCAGAGCCGACCCGGTGGCGCAGCGGTTAAATGCTCATGTTCCACTTTGGCGGTACAGGGTTCGCTGGTTCGGATCCCGGGTGTGGACATGGCACCACTTGGCAAGCCATGCTGTGGTAGGTGTCCCACATATAAAGTAGAGGAAGATGGGCACGGATGTTAGCTCAGGGCCAGTCTTCCTCAGCAAAAAGAGGAGGATTGGCAGTAGTTAGCTCAGGACTAATCTCCCTCAAAAAAAAAAAAAAAAATTACTGTTCCCAGAAACCATACTTACAGTTTTTAAAAAATTACAGCACAAGTTTCTTAGTATTTAAATAAAGCTCCTAAATTAAATCACTAACTTTCATTAAATAATAGTGACTGTTAGCAAAAGTTTAATTTGTAAACCTAAAAATTTTATAAAGAAGTAATTAAATAAATTGATCTCATTGTTTAAACCTGATGTAATGAATTCAAGTTCATATAGAAAAGCCACTTTGAAAAATCTAGAATGTTTTCTACTGTAAAAAAAAAAAAAAGAGAAACATCCTATTTAATCACCCTGAGCAAGTGAATAATTTACGAATTTGAGTCCTTTATTAGGGGATAATTGTAATTATCTAAGAGAGAGAAAACATAATGTTCATCTTCAAGTTTCTAATCTAATTAAAGAAAGACACTGATAATAAATGGATGCTAAATTATATAGTGCTAACTCTGAGTGTAGAGAAGGTCAGATTAATTTTTTTTTAAAAAAGGTTTCACGAAGCAGGTGGGGCTAAAGATTTTTTTTTCAATGAAATAAGTACCAACAAGGCTTACACATAACAGACATCCAGGGAAATCGTGGGGCAATACAAGAAGACTGTTTACTGTGCATCTCCTATTGTGAAGAAATGGACCAGTCCTCAAGAGCAAATCCGAAGGAGACGTCACCTCTGCAAGGTTCGATCTCATTGTTTGCCTCATGTTAATTTTCTCTTAACATTTCATCTAGATTCTATTCTTGGTTGGACATCGCTTTTTTTTTGTGGGGGGGGTGAGGAAGATTTGCTCTGAGCTAACGTCTGTTGCCAATCTTCCTTTTTTCTCATTTAAGGAAGATTAGCCCTGAGCTAACATTTGTGCCAATCTTCCTCTATTTTTTGTTTGTGGGATGCCTCCACAGCATGGCTCATGAGTGAAGTAGGTCTGCACCTGGGATCCAAACCAGCAAACCCAGGCTGCCAAGGTGGAGTGCACAGAACTTTAACCAGTCGGCCATGGGGCCAGCTGTCTCAGCTGGATATATCTTATTTCCTCTTTTATGTTTACATACTTCTTTCATGTTTTTGATCTTAAGGTTAAATATTTGTTTGCCTTTTCCACAGGCCATAGTGCTCTTTGAGAAGCGATTGTGTCTTACTTGTGAAAAGGAGTGGTTATGACAAATGGAAGGGCATGTTTCAGAACTGCATTGTCCAAAATGGTAGCCACTAGGTACATGTAGCTATTTAAATTAATAAAAATTTAAAATTCAGTTCCTCAGTCACACTTGCCACATTTCAAGGCCGCTCAACAGCCACATGTGTGGTGAGTAGCTACCATATTGGACAGCACAGGTGAAGAACATTTCTGTCATTCCAGAAAGTTTCTCCCAGACAGCATTGTTCTAGAAGGTTGTTCAAGCTAGATCATTTTGTTCTCTTTGCCCGTTCTGATCCCATCATTTCACCAAGAAAGCCTTAATCTTTTACAACTGTAGATATCAGTCACATCAGTATACCTAGTCAGGTTTAACACTCTTTCCCCTTTTGGAGTCATCATCTCTATGGCTTGGGGAGTCCCAGTGCTATACCCATGAGGACGTTAAAGACATCCCACCATTTCACCTGAGGAAGTCTCACAGTTGTCCTTAAACAAACAGAAAACAAGCTTTTCTCTCCTCACGTTTATATTTCACCACATCCCCTTTCTGTCTTGGTTTGGAGTCACCTACCTAATATTCCATCCCAACTCCAACCCACCATTACCACCATGCAAATACTATGGGAGAGAAATTGTTGTTGTTATTGTAACAATATAAAAACACCTGAGTTTTGTAAAATTATCCAGAACTATGTGTAACTTATCATGTTTGGTGATAAATGTTTACTGGGAAGCATCTAGTTTTATGTATTTGCTTGGCAAGAGTTTTTAGATACTAGGAGTCAGATCAAAACTTAAGAAGGTGAATGAACCAGCTATTTTAAGTTTTCTTAAACAGTACAAAACTAAAATTTCCTGGAAGGATGATCCAAGGCAGAGATAATCCTCAAATCTCTTTTGTACTATTGGTTTCAGTATCTTTTCTACCAGAGCTGGTAGAAGTAAGTAGCAAGAACTCTCCACATTCAACTTTTCGGCGGAAATGTTTCTATGTGGTATAAGCAGGTCAACGATAGACAGTTAAGAGGACCTGATTAATTCATAAAATGAGTAAGCCTGGATTAATTAATAATTGGCCCTTTTATTTTTCCCTTTCTTGTTCACAAGCTGAATATGCATTCTTAATGCTTTTCAATAAACATTCTATGAACCAAACATTGTACAGAATGATATGGACTGAAGCAATGTGTTACAATGGAAAAAGTTTTGCAACCAAAGAATTAATTTTGTTTTGGCACTTCTTTAAACAAAGGAATAGAAATCGTATTCAGGTACAGTGTTTTTCTTCCATACATGTTATTTATGGTGTTTTCTTCCACAGTATGATGTTTTTCTTCCATAGACATTATCACTCACATCACTGTAATTTCACATAAAAATTACAGAGGTACATTAGACTCAAATATAAGTACTTTAAAAAAGAATATAGTAATTTGTACTCAATTTTTTTTTCATGAGGAAGATTAGCCCTGAGCTAACATCTGTGCCAATCTTCCTCTGCTTTTTTATATGTGGGTCACCGCCACAGCATGGCTGATGAGTGGTGTAGGTCCGCACCCAGGATCCAAACGTGCAAACGCAGGCTGCCAAAGCAGAGTGTCCTGTATTCAACTACTACACCATGGGGCGGCCCCTGTACTGAAATATTTTAGGTAGAAAAGATTTAAGAAAAGAAAGAGGACAGGATGAAGGAGAACACACAGTGACGCTGTCCTGTTACAAAGCTTTTTGCACTATAACTTTTAAAACTACATGCATATATTATTTTGATAAAATAAAATTTACTTTGCATGTATCTACTTATTTTATATGTGTATAAGAAAATAACTTACCAAGTTATTAATATTAGCTATCCAGGGGGAGTGGGAGTTTGGGGTGGGACAGAGGAAGAGACAAACAGACACTTTTTACTTTTTACTTCACAAAAGGTATAAAATTGGTAATCAGCATACACTCCTTCAAAGTAGGGAAAAAAACTGAGAAATACCATATCTACTGTAAACCTGGTTTAATACATAGCAAGTATCTTTTGAAAGCAATAGATATACTTATATGGCATCAATTTTCATGGTTTCATAATATCCTATTACACAGATGTCCCATAATTTAACAAATCTAGCAACAAATTACTACACTTCAGTCAATCCTGAAAAGTTCTAATTTCCTCATCTGTAAAATTGAGATAGTAACACGACCCACTGTTGTGAGAATTAAATAAATGAACAATGAGAAGCTCTTAGAATATGCCTGACTCATAGTAAGCACAATTATATTAAGTGCTATCTCTTATTTTTTAGTCCCCTCCTTTCTACTACTTCTATTCTTGCTACAATAATTCTAGTCTTTGTTCTCTCTTGCTGGTATTATTTACTGCAATGCCTTAAAATACATCTGCTACCAACAATCTCTCTCCACTCTAATCCATTTTATACATAACATCAAATCTTCCTGAGGCACACTTTCCCATACAAAGGTCTTCAAAGACTCATTCCCTATAAAATAAGGAACAAATTATTTTGCCTGGCCACTAACTTGGGGTTCCAGGTTCATCTCCTACCACTTCTCTTTCCTTCCCACCAAACCAACCTACTTCTCTTTGCCCCCTACAATCTCCTGGAATTTGATCCATGCTTTTCCTTTGGCCTTGAATACTTTTCCAATTCCCATCTCATCAAGTTCATATCCTACTAATCTTCAGTCTTCCAGCTCAAAGTAATTTCTCTATCTTCTGGACTGTCAAACGACATAATGTATCACATCCTAGAGAAACTTTCAGATTGTACCTAATATTATAGCTATCACATACATATTACCTCCTCCTCCTGCTGGATTTCAAATTAAATATCTCTGTCTAATTCCTAACTACACAGTTTTCTTAATCTGTGTTTTGGTTTCTACATTTGGCAAACATATCTCCTCATGTGCCTTATACAATTTGTTGAAAAGACTAAAAATAAGATAGAATAACTTAGTAGGGTTGTCTTGTGCAACTGTAAGGAATAGAAACAGCATACAATCACCTAATAGAATCACTAGCACTTGGTAAATATTCATTAAGCAGAGTTATAATTGTTCTTCCTTTGGAATAATGTATGTTTTTGAAAAAAGTAACATGTATTTCTATTTGTAAACACCTGGGCATGACAACAGAAGACAAAGAATTCATTGGACACCTACACCTATCCAGGGAATCATCTTGAACTCATATCTTCCACTGAACGTGACTTCGAACAAAGGTTTGAGAAAAATCTTTCCCAGAGACATAGCAAATGTGGATATAAATATGTAAATATAAAAGATACAGTGCAATTAAGACCCTGAATCAACTAATCTTTAAGCATATAATTCTTCCTTGATAATACCACAAAATAAAACCTCTAATAACCCCATGTTCAAACTACCGGTTCATTGACAGGTATGATTTCTTTTTAATGCTGAATAATGATACTTGAAAGGGTGT